ATGTTAACGTTTCTAGCCCAATGTTAAAAACGAGAAAAAGATACCCTTCATCTTCAACAGACAAAGGCACTAGACATATCAAGAAAAGCAACAAGAACTATCTAGCATTAAAAATATGAAGTGATAGAGGCACTAAAACTGCATGAAACAGTCAGTGGCTGGAAGAGCAGATTTTTACAAAAGAATTGCGTGTATTTTGTACCAGAATTACAAAGGTTTATACAGAATTAACTATATTTTACAGAGATTTACAGAGATTTCATGCGTGTTTTTATTCAATTAATTTGTCCATCAGAAGCCAATATTTAAACTCTTAAAGTTCTTCAATTAGAATTTTTTGTTTCTGCAGATTGGGACCTTTTCTTTCATTTTATTTCAGCATAGATCCTAAAGTTCTCGTACTGTGTTAGGTGTTCACCTTCCACGGATGACGTTTAGTTTCATTTGTTGTTTACATTTACTTTGTCTAGGATGAGGACTATAAAGTGATTAAGAGTTGTTTGCATTCGCCATATGCAAATAAGTTTTACATTGTTCTTGTTGTTTCCCTTAAAACAAAGTTACGCAATGGACCACCTGCATTCTATCCACCGTGGGGAATCGAACTCCTGATTTGAGTGTTGTAAGTCTGTAAACCTACTGCTGACCCACCATGGGACATTAGTTTTAAAGGTTGTTTCATTTTAAGGCATGAAGTAGTTAGTGGAGCGTTGGATCCGCCATTGTTAGGGTCGTTTTTAAGTTAAATTAGTGTGTTGGTGAGTTAGATTTCACAGTTCTAATGTATTTAATTAGATTAAAGTGAGAGCATTTTACTTGATTTGGAGTCAGTTTAGTTTAGTGATTTCGTTGCACTTAGTCTAATATATATATAGGAGCACACTGACCAAAAGAATGTTTTTCTATTAAAGTTTTCATTAGCTTTTGCTGGTCCTACACTTCTTATTCAAAGTTTCGAACCACACACTATCATTTACACTTTGTCTTGCAATGTTGCGTTAGTGGAGTATAGTTTATTTGTACTGTTAACTGCGAGCCATTAAACATTTTTTTCTTTGTGTTAATCTATGTCTTATCTCTTTTTTTTCTTCTTTGTCACTCAACTGTCGCAATTCGTTGGGAAATATACACGCAAACCCGTAAACAAAGTGATGTTACAATCAATAGTGAGACGAAGAGAACCGCAGCTCGTCGTTTCAGTCCACTAGGTTTCGCTAGTGCGTTTACTGCTCCTCTCGAAGTCACAAAGACGTTGAAGGTCGAAGTTATCTAACACTGCTCTGTTGGAGCCGGTGTCTGTACGGAAGTGGGCATTTTAAAGGTACGCAGCATGGTGAAACCGTAAGAAATGTTTAGTGTTTACATTTATTGAGCTAGTACGCTAACTTTTAACAAAGCAACTTCGATGTGTGTTTCACGTCGAAGTTTATAACATATATTTCTAGGGCTTTACTCTTGTGAAGTTATGGGAATAATTATTCTGATTAGTCGCCACCGTACCACAACTTGTACAATTTACAACTACAATTTGTAAATTGCAGCATTTGAGGATACCCGGCCCCACTATGCTACTGTACTGTAGTACAATTACTAGATATCGTTTTGCACTTTAATTAAAAGGCTATTAAGATTTAAAGTGGAACATTTTAGATTTATAATGAACTTGATTTAAATTTTGATTAATAGTCTTCATTAGCTTAAATTAAAACAGTAAACTGTGCAATATTTACTATTACTAGTAGTATTAGTATTATTACTATCAGTATTAATAGTAGTCTTGTTTTTAATATTATCACTATCAGTTTGACTTTGATGGTTAATCAAAGTTTTTAAAAATATTTGTAATTTAATTTTTCGTGACGATTACTAGAAATTATAATAGAAAACTAATAGTAATACTGAGTTCTCTTGTGTGGTTCTTTTGCTGCAGAACTTCTGGGAGAGATTTAAAATTAAAAATGTTTCACAATGGCCAGACTTACCAGCGTTCTGACACAGTAGTGGTATCATTATTGTCACCAGCTAACGATGATGAGAACAAAAGTAGATTCTTCAGCAGGGAAGGTCTTGCTGTCACCAGAGGAGGCCACAAAGGAAATGCTATTGCTGTATTAACCAGTGGTGGCGACTCTCAAGGTAAGTATACATAATACAGTTATGTGCTAATGTTTGAACTGGATTTTTTTGGCATTGACAAATAAATTAGTTACAGGCTTATTAGAAAACAAGGTCTAGAATCCTTGTACTATGCTGGATGTTGCTTCTAAAACATCATAATTTTATTAAAAATATATAACTAAGCAGATTTTAGGAAGTTAACATGAAAACTCCCAAATCCATATGAATGTAAATGTTTCTTAAATTCCACATCTTCTAGGCTGCATACTCTGAGTCTTGCACTAGTCTGGCTGAGTAATTTACACTGAGGTTAATATCCTCAAATTATTCCTATTGACACGGGCATTAAGCCCATGTAGTGACAATGTCTAGATGTTACAGCAATAACTCCTCATCTTTACTAGGAGGTACATTTCTCATCGCTATCCATTCACTATCACTTTAAATTTTGCCTAACTAACATTACTTGACATTTTTTGAAGTTTTGCCAATTACCTTGATGTATCTTGTGTTCTGAAAACTCTTGACCCATTAAATATTTATTTCAATTAAAACAGTACATTAGACAAAATTATAACACATAAATTGCATTGTTTGTTTATGTTTATATATATATAGTGAATGTATTAAAGAATAACATGCCACAATAAAGTATGTTAGAAGTGCATATTTGTGTTTATTTATGAATGTATGTGTTGATATGATTTGTATATTGATCAGTACATCAGATAGTGCCTAACCTTGTTAAATTGCAATGACTCAAATGGTTCCTTTGGTCTTCCATACTGAGTAGGTGTGTAGTTCTTATTGGCAAGAGAATTTTTAATTATTATACCATAATAATCAAAATTAGCAATTCACCATTAACATAGTACCTCGTTGAAAGTTTTTGAAAGTCAATATTGACTGTTTTTGTGAACCAATGGTCTTTGTGGTTTAAATTATCTTTGTGTATGTAATAAGACCTTGCAAACAAGAAACTGTATGTATGTATGACAGAATTTGGAATTTCCTGGAAAGTATCTTTTCAGTAGGTTGACCAAGCATTTATCTTTTATTTTTCCTCATTTCTTGTTGGTCCCTACCCCCTAATCAAGACCTTTTTTTTATATTCTTGTAAAACAGTATCGACAAAAACACCTTTTGTGTAGTATATCAATGAACACTAATGACTAGATATAAGTAGTTGAATCTTGTAGAGTTCCAAAAAATGAATGCAGTTCTGTTATTGATAGTTCTCTTATCTTAGTTCATCTCCTTATCCTCGTTCAACTAACTCCAAATCTTAGTTACAGATTTTCCTGATTTCTTATTCCAGATTTTAATTACATGCAGAAGTTACTGATCTCCTCTCCAACTTTTAATTACTTACGTTCTTTACTGATCTTTTTGTAATTATGTGATCATATATCCTAAGCTTTTATTATACATACATTTTACTCATAATGATTACATGCAGACATCATTCATTGTTTATTACTGTCATTGTCATAAATATTTAAATGTTAATGGTTTTATATATGTCTGTGGCCTTAGAAATGTGATTTGGGCATGTATGCACACTTGATTAGTACTCAAGTTTGTAGGCTTCTTCACTGGTTCTTATATTTGTAGCCTTGGGCAGATGCACACTTGATTGTTTCTTGCATTTGTGGCCTTGTTCACTGGTTCTAATGTTTCTGGCATTGGACATATATGCACACTTGACCAGTTCTTGTGCTTCTGGCCATGTTCACTTGTTATGTTTATGGCCTTGTTTGCTAGATCTTATATTTGTGACCTTGGATAGATGCATGCTTGACAAGTGTATGTCTGTGGCATTGAAAGTGTGTGTTCACTTGACTGGCTTTTGTGTTTGTGTTTTTTGGCATGCATGCATTTTATTTTTTTAGTTAATTTTAAATACCTACACCCTGATTTTTACACCAAGAATTATTACATAGTTTAATAGTTTTTATTACATTCAAGATCCTTATTATATGTACAAGTAAACTATAGGGGTGTAGGTTATAATATGTACAAGTAAACTATACGGGTATGGTTATAATATGTACAGGTAAACTATAGGGTATAGGTTATAATATGTACAAGTAAACTATACGGGTATGGTTATAATATGTACAAGTAAACTATAGGGGTATAGGTTATAATATGTACAAGTAAACTATACGGGTATGGTTATAATATGTACAGGTAAACTATAGGGTATAG